GATTGCAACTTCAGCTTAAAAGTGCCGCTGCTGCACCCCAAGAACCGCGCGCAACTGGATACTGCGGCGCAGGATGCCAAAGTCATAGGTTTTCTATGCTTACCAACTTTTGCACCCACAAACAAAGCCGCAAGGATTGCAGGAGACTGCGACAGCAATCCCTATCATCTACACCACCACAGTACCACCGCCACCGCTGCTGATTGTATACTGCGATCATGATACTTTCTATGTATTGTGAATGCACTTAGATCTGATGTTGCTATTGTTAAAACGCCAAGCCAAGCAATCCTTGCACCATTCAGTTAACGCCCATGTTACACCACGTGGCAGCGGTTCAAAGGGAGCAGGCGCTGCACGAGATTTGTATGCTTCAACGGCAATGCTGCAGTGGCTTCCACCTTTTATGATTATAAGACTTGGAAGGAAGAAGTCGAAAACGAGAGTCCCTGGTTGATGAGGCGTCAAGTAAGCTACATCTTCATGGAAGCTAACCAGGGAAGAATTTCTAAGCGTCTTCAAAAGCCTTATGCGCATCCTGTGAGTCCATACCATTTCATGAAATCTGCAGGATGAACACCTCGCGCAAACACGTCAGTCGCTCCCCAGATGGTGTGCAGGCGTCCAAATATTCCCCAGATAAGCACTACTGCAGCGGCAAACTACGTACCACGCAATTTCAGCTAGACAATATGAAGAAGCTTCTGAAACCTCCTTTTGAAACCCTTTGTGGCTTCCGTAGACGAACCTATCAATCACTATGCCTATTTCGTCTTCTGTTCTATTGTTTAGGTAGATCCTAGCTCCTGGCCCTCGCTGTCCCATGCAAGGCTTCATTCAAACTTACCTTTGATCCCAGAACTGCAGCCTCGACAGGCTATCGCTCTTTTGCGACTACCAGTGTATGGGCTGCTGCTGAGGAGCAAAATTGTAGGGTGCTTCAAAAGTCCAGCTACCTTTTCTGGAGGGCCTACACAGTGGGCATGCTAAACCTGTGGGTGGCCGTGGAGACCGCACACGTAGACACCCAAGCTGCAAGAACACAGAATGCAAATAGTTCGAGAGATGCAAATTACGCGAGGCAACCCAACCAACCATATACTTTAAGATCCTAAGTCCGAAGCAGCAGCCCAATTGTAGCTCCTGCGCTAGCTAGGCGCTCTGTTATCTGGGCCGGCAAGGTGCACACCAGGAAGGGTTCGAGAAAGCAATCAGTAATTATGAGATCTGCTATATCTGTTGGGACCTTGTGGTTGCTGGTTGAGCCGAACTAAAAGATTCGTACGTAATCCAGGCGCACCTGATGATCATGTGCAGCTATGATTGCGACGCTACTGTTGTTGCTTCTGAAGTTGCTCCCGCAGTGCTAGCTGCTGCTGCTGCTGCTGCTGCTGCTGCTGCTGCGCTGCACGCTGCCGGGCGAGCTTCGTTTCTGTTGTCGTGGTAGTCATCGGGTGCAGTGACGCCGCGTTGGTTGTCGCGGTGGTGGGGGGGCGTGGGTGGGGGCGGGGCGGCAGTGGCCGGCGGCGGTGGTCGTCTTCGCCGCCGTCGCGCATGGTGGTTGTTAGCATTGTGGTCGTGTGGTGCACTGTTTTTTTTGGTGGTCGAAAGTGCTCTTGGCTCGTGGCGGCAGTGCTCATTTATGGAAATCACGACCTGGGGTTATGCTGATTGGGAGTTCAGCTTGCTGGGGTTATTAGGCAATAAGGGATTAAATCAATATACAAGGATTATAGTCCCTTATTTTCTTCCAAGCCGCCAGTAAGTCGGTACGTCAGTGTCTCGACCATAGGGTGCAGGCCGATGGGTCTTAGGGGCGAAGGGTTTTAAGGCGGCTGTGGCTCGAGGGTCTTCTGATGGTAGTAAGCAGAACTTTGTCCAGGTTCGGTTATAGCATGTTATAGCTGAAGGGTGGGTTGGAGATAGAGGCTTCATATGACTTTAGGGGTGTCTTAGAATGTTGAGGCAATTTAGCTTGGAGGGTTTCACAACCTGGGCTGTGACAGGGAATATCTCAGAATCTAGAGATCCGGCCGGTCCTGGAAAGCTTTCTCAGCCGCATTGGGGAAATACGATTCGGAGAAAGGATTATAGGGAGCAGTGTCTGAATTAGTGTCCCCGACGGCCCAGACACTTTCGGCCACGGACACGTTCAGCCTTCCAATGTGCAGTTTCGTAAGCTGGTAAGGGCTAGCATAGGCGTGATGCGTGTAAGTGCACAGGGATTATCTACGGACCGCGGGCGGATTGAAGGACCTATGAAAATCAGCTCAACCGCAGCCTTGCCAGGGGGCTGCTGCTTATTCATACGCTGAGGTATGCAAGGGGACCTGTGCCAACAATGCAAAGTCAAAGGGGACAGCTGCCTGACTCTTTAAACATACTTCTTTGGTATGCTTAATTTCGAGCATTCCCGACATCAAGCAGCACATGTAAGTTTCTGACCAACTACACTAGCAACCTCCGACAAGGTGCTCAAGATCTATGTCGACATGGGCTGTGCCTAATTCTGCAGGCGCATGTTGTGAAAACAGTAAATCAACTTCTGAGTAGCTAGCATGTAGCGTAAAGAACGATGAAAAGACGACGTGAGCGAGACTTGAAAAAACATCAGCTGAAGAACCTCATCCCCTAAGAAACCTTGTCAAAATGGGGGCCGCCTCATATCATCAGATCCAAAGTGTTAGAGACTCCTGTCATCATCCCTTGAGTGGCATGACTCTCCCTTGCCCTTGTTCAAATTCTTGTGTGGAAGTCCGAACCCAATCAGCTTCTGCGCACGCGCTTGGATGAATGACAATCAGCTGACGCCTGTACTATTGTGATCATCAGTTTCGATTTGAATTCCCAGCTTCGTCTCCATTGATTCTCCACTATATCCATAAGATGTATATATAACATATATATATATTTATATATGTATACATACCCTTAATAGCCGTAGCCGGTTAAGTATCTTGACGAAGACTTACACGGCAAAATTCCTGCCATCCGGCATCCCCTATCCACCCAACGCCACGCAGCCTACAAGCCGAAACGGCTGTGGAAACACGTATGTGGCAAGCATGCAGAAAGCACAAGAAGAACTGCAAGCAACATGGCCATATCAGAATAGCAAACAGAACGTAAGAGTGCTCGTGCTGATGGCTGCGTTCCTTTGATGGTCAATCCAGTATTACGGCCTTTCTTGTCTTTTTGCTTGCGGGCTTGCAGCGGGGCCTCCAGCAGAGGCCAGGAATCTGATGGGTCTTCGCAAGTAGCTCAACAATAACTTGGCAAACAACCGACAAACGCCCAGGCTGCAGACTTTGCCCTACTCCCCGAATACAATTCAAAAAGGATTAGGTTCACGTCTCGTCTGGTCCTAGCCGGGTTGCCCTGGAACTATACCCTATATACCCATACACCCCCTTGACGTTCCTGAGTCTGCGACTCACTCAAAGGTGCTCTTGAAGACAGTCAGCCGGTCGCAAACACAATCGGGGTCACCAAGGGACTATCTGGATGCATAGGGTTGAGGGTTTAGTCGATAATGAGGAGATTACGCACTGTTCCACCTCACTGAAGAAGCGTTGTTCTGGTTAGAGAATCAAATGTGGTTAAATCCGCAAAAGGAAGATCTAACCTCATGCCATGTTGGAGACTTCTTACCCAAATCGAAAGCTTGGTTTAAGCGCTTAACCCTAAACCCCACAGCCCTAAATCCTAACGTTCTGCTGCTGCTTAAGCCCTACACCCTACCCCCCAAATCCTTAGCCCGCGCAAGTTTTTTCAGGCGCATGGCTAAGGGGCAGATGACTGGTGCGGAGTTGTCGCAGGCTGCAGAGGAGATCACCTGCGCAGCATATGTGCGTTTGAGGTTTCGAGTCTAGGGTTGTAGGGACATAAAAATATACATGGATAAATAAAAATATGTGCTATATGTGTATATATATCTACCCCAACCAAATGAAGAACAGACAAGCGTGATATAAATGAGCATTACACAAGGTAATAATGTTGATAATGATGATGAAACGCTTTCTGCTCGTACTGTTATCTACTGTAAATGGTTTAGGGTTTAAGCGTTTTTTGTTGGGCAGTTTAGGGTTTGGCGATTCTGACATAACCTAGTTTAACATAATTTGTAGGCTGTCATGCAGGGAGCGCCATGTCATATCATTTGACTCCAGCACCTCCAAAAGCTCCAGCCATGGAAATGTTACCTAATACAGTTTAAGTAAGCGCAACTCAAGGTATTGCATTATGATGCAGTGAGGTAAAGCATGCTGAAGTATAGCGCAGGGCATACCAAATACAATAAAATGCGGTTGGGGTGTGGACACAACTGGATGACACGTCATAGAACAAATACAATACATGCATACGTCTATGTACATATAGACATGACGGAGCAGAACAGAACACATTATTGTGCAATATAGAAGATGAAAAAAACTTGCAGCAAGACAATGTAACTTGTACACCCTAAACCCTGAAGCCAATATTAGCCCTTAAGCTGCAAACCCTTAACCCTAAACGCAGCATAGCACAGCAGCGCCTAGAATATTAATACTCTACTCAGCATAACGTACAGGGTTTAGTGTTTACGGTTCAGCCCTTGGGTAGATTAGCATAGGAGGCAGTGATAGTAATAGTAGTAGCAGTAGTAGAAGTCGTAGTAGTCGCAGTAGTGGTCGTCGTCCTAGTAGGTAGAAATAGTGGTAGATGTAGGAGCAGGAACAGCAGCAGGTAGTAGTGTATTTGGCGGTCGCTCATTTCGTGGTTCAGCCAAAAGTTGCACTTCACACTTTACCTGGCAACCTCGCGCTGCAACCGCAAGCTTGAAGTGGAAGGGTGCAGTACCGCTAAATACTACTACAAATCATAATCACAACAACAAATTTGTGCAAGGGTGCAGTTCCAAGGCTTCAGCCAGACATGAAAAGCTTCAGTTCGAAAGGCTCCGAGAGGCCATGCAGGGAAACTAAGCTGCTAAGCTGCTGTCTCACTTGCCTCACTCACTGCTCGCTCTCGATCACACCCGCGGCACCCATACCGCTGCCGATGCACATGGACACGACCCCGATCTTCTTGCCTTGCCTTTTCAATTCTGGCAACAAGGAGGCAATCTGCCGCGAACCTGTGCAACCGAGCGGGTGGCCAAGGGCAATGGCACCGCCCTTGGGGTTCACCTTCTCCATTGGGATTTTCAGGTGGTTAATGCTCATGAAGGCCTGCGACGCAAACGCCTCGTTGATCTCGAAGATGTCCACGTCGCCAACGCTCAAACCAGCCTGCTTGAGGGCAGGAGGGATGGCGTACGCCGGCCCGATGCCCATGACATGCGGGTCGACACCAACAGCTGCAAACGATCGGAAGCGCGCCAAGATCGGCAACCCAAGCTCCTTTGCTTTTGACCTTCGCGCCAAGAGCACCAAGGCCGCACCGTCCGACAACTGGGACGCGTTCCCGGCTGTTGTGCTGCCACCTTCCTTGAAGGCAGGCTTCATCTTCGACAACACCTCGAAGGTTGTGCCGGGTCTGGGGCCTTCGTCCTTTGAGATGACCACCTCCTTTTTGTTCCCATCCTTGTCCGTCTGTGTCGTCTTGATTGGGATGATCTCGCTGTCGAACAAGCCTTCCTTCTGCGCCTTCAGCGCCTTCTCATGGGACGCCTCCGCAAAGGGTGAGGTATCAACTGGTAAGCATCAGAAACAAATTTAGGCCAACAGTAAAACAGCATCTCTGTTGTACACATCAACAAAAATCAAGCTAAGCATCACACAAATGAGGCCATAAATATGAAGAAACTCCAAAGGGTACGAGCTTTAGGGCATCAACTCTTGTAGACACTAATAACACCTTTCATGAACCCTAAAAAACCTGGATTTCAAGATTCCTGGGCAAGACACTCTGGCAATCTTGGATCTTAGATCTTAGGGCTGGGGGTTGATTTGGGCATGGCTTCCCCATCAACTGGAATTCTTCTGCAAACCTAAAGATGGTGGATCTTGGGGAGGGAGGTTACCATATATATATGTATATTTAGATATCTCAACTATGTATATATGCATATTATATATGTGTGTATAAACTATGTATATGTGTACCCTCTATCTATTTATCTCTGCACTGGATATATAATGTATTTACTATAATGCCACATCAATATATACTACATATACCACATATATGATACATACAATAAACGTAATATACTACATACACTATGTATATCTTATATTCTACATATGCTATACATATGTCTATACCTACCATGTAAACAGAATACGAATACGCTACATAAAAGACTAATTCTGCCATAGTTAAGGTAAATATACTATATATACACACCATATAGACTGTGTGTACTCAATGTGCCCTGTATACTCTCTGTATATACACACTCTATACGATATACATACATATTGTATACTATATCAACTAAAAACAATATACACGATGTATATCAAATATACGATGTATACTACATACGGTAAAACAACTCATTTCTGACACAGGAGAGCAAGGGCCAGGGGGACCAGGAAGCCTGTTGAATTTTCTTTGGTGCTTAGCCATTTTTCTGTATGCTTAGCCAACTTTCCTTGATGCTTGGCCAAATTTTGTTTGATGCCAGAATCCCTAAACCCTAAACCCCTAATGCCTCCGCAAACTTGTCCTGGGTCTCCCTCGAGATGTTGTACTTCTCTGCCACGTTTTCGGATGTGATGCCCATGCTCAAGATGCACGCCTTCGCCATCGCGTTCCTAGGTTGCTGTTGAGGAACTTAAGTTAGGTTACAATAGCTGAGGAACCCTATTAATTGCTCTATATTCCCATTATATGGTAACTTAAATTAAGTTCCTTAACAGCAACCCAGATTCTTCATGATGTTCGGGGACAGCTTCTTCTGGTCGTATGCACAAGCCATCGGGTAGGTGGACATTGACTCCACACCCCCTGCAAGGCCAACATCGATCGTGCCTGCCTTGATCGACTGTGCCACAGTGGCAACCGACTGTAAACCGCTGCTGCACTGTCGGTTGATGGTGTACATGGGCACCTCGTACGGAAGGCCAGCAAGGAACATCGACATCCTCGTCCCGAAGCCACCAGCACCCGGCTGCAGAGCATTCCCAATCACGCAATCGCCGATCTCCTTCGGGTCGATCTTCGTCCTCTCGATCACAGCCTTGAAGACCTCGGCCAACAAGTCCTCCGGCGGCATCTCCTTGAAGCCTTTCCCGGCCTTACCGACCGCGCTGCGCAGGGCACAGCAAATCACCACGTCATCATCCCCGGGAGTCGCCCCAGAAATCCCTGCCGTCGGCTGCGCCACCAACTCTGGTGCCGACGCCACGACGTGGCCAGCGAGGCGTTGGAGACGCTGCATCTTAAGCGGTCTAAAGGAAAGCTGGGCTTGCGACTGGCTTGAACAAGGGCTTCTTGCGAATCAGAAATGCTTCATTTCGACCTTGGTCCCACTGCCACAGCCGTCAACACCCACATTATGACATGCAAGCTTGCAGCGGTGCCTACTTGATGGCGACGCCACTTCTCCCTCGACGGCTGCCTCCCAACGATAAGGTGTGTTTGTTTTTTCTTGTGCTTGCCAGCTGCTGAGCATGGGTAGGATGAATGCTCATGCGGATAGCAGAAATATAGTAAATAATGACAATTATAATAGCAATATCGTTCTTATGCTCACTTTAACCTCTACAGTACGCATACATCACGTGCAGTCTACAGACTTGACATGGCCGGCTGTGGTTGCGCAATACTTTATCTACTAGACTGCTCTACCAGTGGCCTAGCATGATTATCAATTCAAGGGCGGGGACAAGGGCACACTAGACTCCTGCTGCACCACTCGTAACACTTCGAGTGCTTGGCATTTTTCCAGGTGGACGCTCTCGCACATCGTCAAGAAACACACCTCAGAAAGACTCTGACGGGGACAAAAAGCGTCTGCCGGAACTTTGATGTAGACGTTGCAAGGTATAGATGCAGTTCTTGAAGCATCTTTGGAATAAGGTCCCTTCTCCTACCGGTCAGCCTTCCTTGACTCTCCGTTCACAAATTAAATTGCAGCGTCAGTTCGACTTCATGGAGTTTGGGCATCTTGTGGTCGTTTGTATGGGACATTTTGCCTGGTAGATCTCTCTAAGCAAGGCTGGGGATATGGAGTGTGATGGCGTTGCAGAACGGTTACGTGCCTGTCAATGTACTCTGCCCTACATCTTGTCCAGTCCTGAAAATTAGGCTTCGGGTCATCTCATCTGAGTGCCAGCGTTCACATTTCAGAGCTATGCTTGACAATCGTCTCCACTGAACCTCCAACCTGGCAAAGGAAGAATACGAGGGCGGAACCACCACAAAGAGCATCTTGAATCGAACAGCCTGTAGTGCAATTTTCTCACTACGTCGGTTGGCCTGAATACTTCCTGAAGAAGTGAACTCTCACTTCGAAACAGCATTGTGGGAAACCTCGCATCCCGCCCAGTTTTCTGCCGAAGGCTCGCGCCGGCCCTCATCCCAAATATCGCTGGAGACTGCTTCCAAAACGAGGGGCCCAAAAAACGTGCAAGCAACGTGTGGGAATTGCATGAACACGGACCCGCAGAGAGGGATCCCCCATGTTTGGAAACTGCCGCATGAGCGGTTTATGGGCAAAGTGACTGAATGAGAGGTAAGCGTCTTTATGTGGTTGAGTACCTACTTGTGAAGAATGTCAAATCTGATTCTGCTCTTTGTGTAGCTGCCTTTTGCGCTTAGACCTACCTGTATCATTTCCTACATCTTGCATCGGTGACTTCCTGCCCTTCAGGCAAACTCCTTGGCCAAGACTTCGAAATCAACCTTCTCACCATTTCGGAACACCACTGGTTTGTACTGTCCCTTGTTGAAGTGGAGAACAGCCTTCTTGGACAGCTGCTGGACATTCCGCTTCAAACCCTGTACATGTGCAGGGCTCACCGTTGCTATCTTCTGGCTCTGGTTGTTCTTGAAGCGGTACCCCTCAAAGTGTTCGGAGAACCTAGGCCACAGCAAAGTTTGAATGGCAATAGATTCAACAAATCCTGCAGTACTTCAAGAAGGTCGGTTCTCTTGCATACCTTTGCGACCTTCATGTAACTCCATGGCATGTAACTCCTGAGGGCAGCGCTAACGAATTGATTAGTGGTTTCTGTGTAAACGATTCGGGATGTGCTGCGGTTAGTCATTGTGATCGTTTTGCAGTTTGTTTGGGATGGTCCTGTTTAGGTTTGCTCGGGTCGACAAGCCTTCCCCTCCCTTCCTTCCTTCCTTCCTTCCTTCCTTCATTTTACTTTTTTTTTTTTTTTTTTT